GCAAACATCTTCCAAGCTTGGGGCAACTGGCAATGACCCCCGCTTTGTCGGGAGCAACTTCACAATGCAGCTCGTCCACCACTGCCTTAAATACTGCAGCCGAGCCGTGCTTCAAACCTCGCAACGCATCTTTGAACTTACCTGTGGCAATCAACCCAATATCGTCAATGTAGAGGTCGAGCGAGGTAGATGGGTAAAGAGGAATGGAAGAGAAAGAGCGAATGTAATATATGCGAACAAACGTTGTAGCCATACTGCACCCAGCAATCACTCCCCTTATGGCCCTGTAGGGCCCATCGATATAACCAGCAATGTTGATGAACCTCATAGCCTTGTAGGTGTTGATACATAACTGAGCTATGACGTTAGGAAAATCTTGTTCAAAACATCTGGACGCTAGTGCTTCGAGATCGATCAGCTCGTAGAACTTATACGAATCCCAAAGCACCGAGGCAGCGACGTCCCCTCGCCTGGTGGACATCTCACTGCGAAGGGTCTGGCGCCAGACTACGTCGGAGGCGCTCTTGAAACCGTAGCCACCGAAGAACGATCTCATGTGGGACTCCTCCCACTCCAGCGCATGCTGTCTACGTATTTTCCCCCATATCCTCTATAAAGAGGTGACAATCCCAATAGGACGGAGTCCCCCCATGGGTTTGGGGAGCATGGCCAGCATAACGAGGCGAATCTGAAGAGGCACCGAGGAAGTAACCTCACATACGGCAAGGATGCAAGACAACACTCTGAGGGCCCCGTCACAGAGACTGTTGAAATGACGCATGTGGAAACCATCCACCGAAACAGCCGATCTACCCGCGTATTCTTTACTGGCAGCCCTAAGCTGCTCGGGAGTAATCCTGGACAAAGGCCCCATGGGAATGAAATCACAAGTCTCAGAAAAATCGTCGACACTCGAGTCAGCAAGCCAGAGCGCCGAGAAACGCTTACCTTCTGCCTTAAGCAGAGCAAGAGGGTCAGCCACCACCTGGCCGAGAGCCGAAAGCGTCGAGGATGGAACCCAGGCTTCAACAGGTCTCGTCCACAGGTGGGCCGATCTCGCCCCCTGGTCCAAGTCCTTTTGAAGCCATTCCTTCCACGACTGCTCTCCCTCCTGGCGCGAGAGAGTGTAGGCAACCGTAACCGCGGCGTCCAGCCGCTCCTGTAGGCCTGCAGCTCGTACAGGGTCCTGGTCAGCATAAGAAATCGGGGCCGTGGGGGCCAGAGGAGATGTGGTCGCAAATGAATTTAGAGGGCTGGAGAATAGAGGTCGTCCACTCAGATTCAGCATTGTTTCTGGGGGGCGAGCGGTCGGTGGCACGTTCGAGAAAATTGCACGGCGTTGCCTGCGCGTGCTTGCTCGCCCACGTGATTTTCAAGGCCATTTCTGAAACCTCCCGGGTGGGTTGGCGACCCCCCCCCTGTCGCCCTCCAGCAATGACCGATGCATTGTCGGTGCCCCCCCTCTGGCGTTGTCGGTGGCGCTGCTTCGACCCCCCTCCGCGGCCCTTCCGTCGTTGTCGGTGCCCCCCCTCTGGCGTTGTCGTTGGCGGCCTGCGCCCCCCCCCCCCCGCCGTTGTCGGAGAGGGCCCCGGGGGGCATTTGTGATAGTATGTCCAGTTCGCCGCCCAGCCCTTCCCAGACCTCCGGGGGCTCGACCTCTTCGAGCCTCGGAGCCGCAGCCCCGTCGCCACCCCTTCCCCGGAACCCGCTCCTCGGGGGCCCGAGGCCGGCCCCGAGGGGTCGACAGCCGGCCACGCTCCGAGGGGGGCAGGAGTCGGGTACAGCCAGGACCCTAAAACGACGCGAAGATCGGGACAAAATCGGATCGGGATAACTCGAAATCTCTGAGAATCGGGGGGTTTGGAGGATGTGTTGGCCGCCGCGGCCGCTCCAGAGCGTTCCGGAACGCTCTGAGAGCGCTCCGGGACGCTCTGGAGCGATTTATCCCGATCCTAGCCCTGTTTTGCAGGAGTCGGGTACGGCCAGGACCCCGGGGTAAAGGGACCCGGTCAGTGGCAGGGCCCTGGGGCCCCTAAAGTCTCGGCATCGCTCGGACGTGTGCATGTTTCCTCCGGCGAGGACCATCGAGGAGCATCGTTGATCGCTTGGCGAAAAATCGCGCGCGAAACCGAAAAAAAAACACAGGGAATGGACGTCCGAGCGATGGCCAGAAGTGGCCGGATTCGCTAAACCAGGTTTGCCGTAAGTGGTGTTTTTCGGGTGACGGCAGTTCCGGCCAGTGGAACTGGGACGGGGGGGCGCCCCCGGTACAAATCACGAAACCAGGTTCCACCAAACCCAGTTCTGCCAACGCCCGAAGGAGGATGGGGGAAGGCTTCTTAGAAGCACCCCTGGTCCTTAGAAGGCGCGGGCCTCATCTACAGATGCGAAGCCAGCGCCTCCTGAGAAGCAGCCTTCTAAGAAGCCATCCCCCCCCCTCCCCTGCTCCCGCGCGCGCGCCTCCAAGTTGGTGCAGGCAAGCGCAGTACTCTGTATGTTTCAGTCTCTGGAGGCCTGGGTGTCCTCTCGTTGGCCTTGTCTGAGAAGCAGCCTCCTTCTGAGAAGCCGTCCCCGCGTTGCCCTCTGCCCCCTTGGTGCGCGCCTCCAGGACGGTGCAGGCGGCCACAATACTCTGTGCTTTCCATTCTCTGGAGGCCCCAGTGTCCTCTCTTTTCCTCTTCCTCCTCCTCCTCCTCCTCCTCCTCCTCCTCCTCCCCTTCTCCTCCTCCTCCTCCTCCTCCTCTTCCTCCTCCTCCTCCTCCCTCCTCTTTCTCCTCTTCCTCCTCGTCCTCCTCGTCCTCCTCCTCCTCCTCTCTCCTCTCCTCCTCTCCTCTCCTCTCTCCTCCTCCTCCTCCTCCTCCTCCTCCTCCTCCCCTCCTCCTCCTTCTTGTCCTCCTCCTCCTCCTCCGCCCTCCTCCTCCTCCCCTCCTCTTCCTCCTCCTCCTCCTCCTCCTCCTCCTCCTCCTCCTCCTCCTCCCTCCTCCCTCCTCCCTACCTCCTCCCTCCTCCTCCTCCTCCTCCCTCCTCCCTCCTCCCTCCTCCCTCCTCCCTCCTCCTCCCCTCCTCGTCCTCCTTCTCTCGGTCCTCTTCCTCGAACCCTTCCCGGACTGCCCAGGGTTGATGAGAACCTCGGCACGTACGAGATGGGTTCGGAAATGATGGGTACAATGCCCAGCAGCAGTTCCTGTTCCTTTTGAACAGGACTCGCTGGCGGTGTTGCCGCGGCCTGGTTGTACATTTGAGAGAGAAGGCCGCCTGCCCAACAGCGGGCGTTGTTGGTTTGAGACAACATTTGTTGTTGGGCGGTACCCGTTTTTTTCGTACCCATTTCGGGCGTCCAAAGAACCGCTGGGGACAGGACGGATCCCAGCTCGAAGGATTCCGATCGGACCCTTCTCGGACTGCCCGGGGCTGATGAGAGCCACCAGGACGGCGGATCCCAGCCGTTCAAGCTGACCCGCTCTCTCAAAGCGGAATCTGCGAGGGAGGTGTGGGAGGAGAAGCGAGACCAAGATAATGATACGCATTCATGGCTCAAACAGTCGTCTGGATGTGGTCGGCTTCCAGTTGGGACCATTCTTCGGCTAAATTGTCAGTGGATCCGCGCTCGCTATAGTGAGGTGGCTAGAAGGATTCCGACATGACATCTACGAGGAGATCTCCGGACTGCAGCCATTGGAAGCCTCTGAGAAGCCTCTGGGAAGAAGCCCCTGAGAAGGAGCCGCTGAGAAGAAGCCTCTGAGGAGCCTCTGAGAAGCCGCCGAGAAGCCTCGAAGAAGCTTCTGGGAAGCCTCTTAGAAGCCTCTGAGACGCTTCCGAGAAGCCTCTTGGAAGCCTCGTGGAAGCTTCTGGGAAGCCTTGTTAATCGTTCTTGGAAGCCTCGTAGAAGCTTCGCTGAAGCCTCTGAGAATCCTCTGGCGGGCCTGGCAGAAACCTTTGATAATCCTTTGAGAAGCCTTCAAGCACCCTATCAAAAGTCTTTGATGAGCTTCTGAGAACCTCCGAGGAGTATCCCGGAGGCCTTGTAGAAGCCTCGTTTAAGCCTTTGAGGCGGTTCTGAGACGCCTGGACTGGTCTGTGCGCGTTTCCTGGGGAAGCCTGAGGGGACCCCGAGAAATCACAGAGTCTTGGGACTTCCGAAAACGTGAAGTACATTTGCGATGCAGTGCACGTGATTTGCAGAGTCAGCGGTCGAGGTGGCGAATCGTCTAGGATCGTCCCGATCGCAATTGCTTCCTCGAAGTTCCATCTTGAGACTGAAGGCAACCCGCTGCATCCAGAAGCGCTCTTGAGAGCTTCCTCTGCCACAAAACACAACAGCGCTTTCAAAACATCGCAACCGCTTCGGCCCGATCTCAACCAGCTCTGATCCGCCCCAAGTGGTCGACGATCAGTCCGAAGTGGTTGCGATCGGGCCCGATCGCGTGGCGAGGTCCTCGGCCACGGCGTCTCCCTTCCTGGGGGTGCCGTGGCGGGGGGCTTCGCCTTCCCGTCGGTGCGGCCCCTGGGTTCCTCGTTGCCGCCGTCGGTGCCGCCCTCGGTTGTCAGCCGAGGCGCAGAGAGTTTCCCAGTTATTCCGGCTTCCACGATAAAAGGGGTGGCGGTCCGATTTTTTGGGGCGGTCTGATTCGAGTTCACTTGGAACGTGCCGGGTGTGGTCTGCGCAAGTGGCCGCCGTCTCGTGACTGGTCTGGGGGGGCCTGAAATGTCTCGCTTGGAACACAAGGGCGCCCTCGAGGGCGCGAAGTTATTCGCGCTTCGCGCTTCGCGGTTCGGTTCCGATTCCTCCTCGTCCTCCTCTTCTCCCCTGGGAGGCGGCGCGAGAGGGCGAAGTTATTCGCACTTCGCGCTTCGCGCAGCGCGAAGCGCGAAGTTGGGAGCCCTTATGGAAGGGCTGCGACTGACCCCCACCCTTCTGCTGTGGTATCCGGAGTTTCAGAGCCGGGCCCTCGCGGGGCCGTTGAAGACCAGGATCGTGCGTCCCCCGCCCGCCGCCCCAGGAGAAGGGCGAGGGCGCCCCGCCCTGGGTCGACTTCGACCCCAAGAAGTGCAGGGTGGCGGGCCCGGCGTCCCGTGGGGTGGGGGGGGGGGCGAGGGGCGGATTCTGCCAGTCGGGGGCGGCCAGAAGGGAGATGCTGTCGGGGGCCTCGAGACGGGGGTCCATGGGGGTGCACCAGGAGAGGTCCAGGGGTCGATGTTGAACCCTGATGAGACTCAGGGGGAGTTTGAAGTTCGAGGTTTTCAGGCGTTTTCGTCGGTTCCGGGGGGGGGTCCCTTCCTCGGGATGCGTTCCGACAGCTGCGCCTCGCCGGGAGCGTCCCGGGGGTGCCTGGAAGGCCGCAGGGGGCCCGAACTCGGGGCTCGAGAGACGGGGGTCGATGCAAGCGGGTGTCAGCCAGGGCGCCGGAGCTGGCAGGATCCTGCAGGGCCAGGGCCGCATCGGCCCGGGCTTGGGTGCAGGATTTGGCAGGCTCCTGCAGGATCCTGCAAGGCACGTCTGACCCGGGTTTGGATTGACCCGGGTCAGAAGATCCCTGATGATGGCTAAGGTTGTGGAGGACGATCAACTGGGAGGAAGCATGTTGCCAAATAATTTCCAGATGTCTAAAACATGCGTTAAACACGTTTGAGACATAAACCACAGGTTAAACACGTGTTTAGAACATTTCTCCTACATGTTGGACACATTTTGAATTCAAGGATAGGACTGTTAGGGTGTCCATTGTCGTGGCATCCACAAGACTAAGGAGGGGGATCTCATGGCGGGGGCCATGATATCTCCCCAGATTGCATGGCGCCTCTTTTTTCCGACCATCCTGTGGTGTTGGGTCCTCGTTTCGAAGAGACAGCGCTCCGCGTTCTTCCCTCCCTCCCGCCTCCCCCTCCCGCTCCTCTGTCCTCCCCCTATCAATTTGGCACACCCCTCATACGTTTCGTAGCCCCATAGGGAGCTCCACCGAAGGCCCAAGTGCTACCGCCCGCATGCGTCCCCCTCACCCAGTACGTACAGCGTTTCGTTCCCATAGGGAGCTCCACCGACGGCCCCAGTGCTACCGCCCAGATGCATTCCCCGACCCATTGGAGCGTTTCGTTGCCCCATAGGGAGCTCCACCGAAGGCCCAAGTGCCAACGCCCGCAAGCTCCTCCCACCCATATCACCGCTTCGTGGCCCCATAGGGAGCTCCACCGAAGGTCCCAAGTGCTACCGCCCGCATGCGTCCCCCCCACCCAGTACAGCGCTTCGTGGTCCCATAGGGAGCTCCACCGAAGATCCCAGTGCTACCGCCCGCATGCGTCTTCCTCACCCAGTACGCACAGCGTTTCGTGGCCCCATAGGGAGCTCCACCCACCGCTCCATCGCTACCGCCCGCATGCGTCCCCCGCACCCACTACAGCGTTTCGTGGCCCCATAGGGAGCTCCACCGAAGGCCCAAGTGCTACTGCCCGCATGCGCCACCCAGTACAGCGCTTCGTGGCCCTATAGGGAGCTCCACCGAAGATGCCAGTGCTAACGCCCGCATGTGCCCCCCCGACCAGTACGTACAGCGCTTCGTGTCCCCATATGGAGCTCCACCGAAGGCCCCAGTGCTGCCGCCCGGATGCTTCCCCTCCATCCAGTACAGCGCTTCGTGGCTCCATAGGGAGCTCCACCGACGGTCCCAGTGCTACCGCCAGCATGCGCCCCCCCACCCACCCAGTACAGCGCTTCGTGGCCCCATAGGGAGCTCCACCGAAGGCCCAAGTGCTACTGCCCGCATGCGCCACCCAGTACAGCGCTTCGTGGCCCTATAGGGAGCTCCACCGAAGATGCCAGTGCTAACGCCCACATATGCCCCCCCGACCAGTACGTACAGCGCTTCGTGTCCCCATAGGGAGCTCCACCGAAGGCCCCAGTGCTGCCGCCCGGATGCTTCCCCTCCACCCAGTACACCGCTTCGTGGGCCCATAGGGAGCTCCACCGACGGCCCCAGTGCTACCGCCCGCGCGCGTCCCCCCAAACCAGTACGCACAGCGTTTCGTAGCCCCATAGGGAGCTCCACCCAAGACCCCAGTGCTACCGCCCGGATGCTTCACCTCCACCCAGTACAGCGCTTCGTGGCCCCATATGGAGCTCCACCGACGGCCCCAGTGCTTTCGCCCGCAGGCGTCCCCCCCCATCCAGTACAGCGCTTCGTGGCCCCATAGGGAGCTCCACCGACGGCCCCAGTGCTGCCGCCCGCATGCGTCCCCCCCCACCCAGGACACCGCTTCGTGGCTCCATAGGGAGCCCAACCGACGGTCCCAGTGCTACCGCCCGCATGCGTACCCCCCACCCAGTTCACCGTTTCGTGGCCCATAGGGAGCTCCGCCGAAGTTCTCGGTGCTACCTCCCGCATGCATCCCCCCCATCCAGTATACCGCTTCGTGGCCCCATAGGGAGATCCACCGACGGCCCCAGTGCTGCCGCCCGCGTGCGTACCCCCCACCCAGTACAGCGTGTCGTGGCCCCATAGGGAGCTCCACCGAAGGTCACAGTGCTACCGCCCGCATGAATCCCCCGCACCCAGTACACCGCGTCGTGGCCCCACATGGAGCTCCACCGAAGGTCCCAGCGCTACCGCCCGCATGCGTCCCCCGCACCCACTATAGCGTTTCGTGGCCCCATAGGGAGCTCCGCCGATGGCCCCAGTGCTACCGCCCGCATACATACCCCCAACCAGTACAGCGTTTCGCAGCCCCATAGGGAGCTCCACCGAAGGCCCAAGTGCTACCGCCCGCATGCGCCCCCCCTCCCAGTACACCGCTTCGTGGCACCATAAGGAGCTCCACCGAATGCCCCAAGTGCTACTGCCCGCATGCGTCCTCCCCACCCAGTACACCGCTTCGTGGCCCCATCGGGAGCTCCACCGACGGCCCCAGTGCTACCGCCCGCGCGCGTCCCCCCCAACCAGTACGCACAGCGTTTCGTAGCCCCATAGGGAGCTCCACCCAAGACCCCAGTGTTACGCCCGGATGCTTCACCTCCACCCAGTACAGCGTTTCGTGGCCCCATATGGAGCTCCACCGACGTCCCCAGTGCTTCCGCCCGCAGGCGTCCCCCTCCCCCCACCCAGTACAGCGCTTCGTGGCCCCATAGGGAGCTCCACCGACGCCCCAGTGCTGCCGCCCGCATGCGTACCCCCCACCCAGTACAGCGTGTCGTGGCCCCACAGGGAGCTCCACCGACGGCCCCAGTGCTACCGCCGGCATGCGTCCCCCCCACCCAGTTTCAGAGCACCGAATCATCAGGAGGGGTAACTCGGGTCAGGGCTAACTCGGGTTCGTTTGTCGGGAATCCGAACCCGATTTACCCCGGGCCCGAGTTACTCCAGATAATTCGGGCGTCCAGAGCCCCAAATCATCAGGGGCAACTCGGGTCAAGGCTAACTCGGGTTCGTTTGTCGGGAATCCGAACCCGAGTTACCCCGGGCCCGAGTTACTCCAGATAATTCGGGCGTCCAGAGCCCCAAATCATCAGGGGCAACTCGGGTCAGGGCTAACTCGGGTTCGTTTGTCGGGAATCCGAACCCGAGTTGCCCCGGGCCCGAGTTACTCCAGATAATTCGGGCGCCCAACAGTTCACAGTATCGTGCCCCATAGGGAGTTCCACCGAAGTTCTCGGTGCTACCTCCCGCATGCATCCCCCCCACCCAGTACACCGCTTCGTGGCCCCATAGGGAGATCCACCGAAGGTCCCAGCGCTGCCGCCCGCATGCCCCCCCCCCGCACCCACTACAGCGCTTCGTGGCCCCATAGGGAGCTCCACCGACGGCCCCAGTGCTACCGCCCGCATGCATCCCCCCCAGCCAGTACAGCGTTTCGTTGCCCCACAAGAAGAGCCACCGACGGCCGGCCCCGGTGCTGCCGCCCGCATGCGTTCCCGCACCCAGTACAGCGAGCCCTGGTAGATGCTCTGCTGCTACGTCGGGTATTCTGCTCTGCGCGGGGTGTTCGGTTCAGGCGGAGGCCACACGGGCTGGAGGGTAGTTACTATCCAGCTGCCTGCGGCAAGCCTCGCCACCGTGCCAGCCAAGCATTCTGGATGGCGATTGAGAACCGTGGTGGAGATGAAATGGTGATGATACTGGTGATGCTGCTGATGATCATGATGCTGATGATGGTGATGGTGGTGATGATGGTGGTGATGATGATGATGACGATGACGATGGCGATGCTGATGCTGATGATGACGATGACGATGACGATGACGATGATGATGATGATGATGATGATGATGATGATGATGATGATGATGATGATGATGATGCTGCTGGTGCTGCTGCTGCTGCTGATGAAGATGAAGATGAAGATGAAGACGATGATGATGATGATCATGATGATGATGATGATGATGATGATGATGATGATGATGATGATGATGATGATGATGATAGTGGTGGTGGTGGTGGGGGTGATGGTGGTGGTGATTCTGAAGACGACCATGCTAATGAGGAGGAGGAGGAAGAGGAGGTAGAGAGGGATGAGGATGCGGATGAGGGTGAGGATGATGAAGAGGATGATGATGATTCGGCCCCCACCATCCTTGTCGAAACGCAATGCCCATCATTGTGTCTGGTGGGCCTGCGCACCGCAGGCCATACGCCATCACCCCTGCCGTCCCTGTCAAAAACCACTTGTCAGTGATCGCGAGGTGGCCGCGCATGATCCAGATTTAGATGCGAGGTGCATGTTGCATTGTTGTTTATTAGGGATGGTGGCCCTGCGCACAGCAGGCAATATGCTGACACTCCCGCCGTTCCTGTCAAAAACACTACAAAGTGCTCGCGGGGCTCACGAACATCGCTGCTTGCCCTGCGCATGTACCAGTGGCCCAAAAGGCCCAAACACAATTTCGTAATCTACATCGTGTGTTGGCCTGGCCGGTTTTGCCGGCGGTCCACGCAGGACTCCTGCCCCGCAAACTAGAATCTACGGGGCACGTCACGGGATAGTGGTTAAGAATTTTGGTTTAGGTGATTCGATGTTTAATTAATTCGATGGTTTTATATATGCGATGTTCGGGCTTTTCGAGGTTTCAGAGTTTTTCGTCAAGGGCTACGGCTCAATGGGCGCGGCTGTGCCCGCAGTAGAGTCCGATGGACGCTCCCTTGCCCAGTGACGACGTTCGCATGCGTTCCCACCGCCGAGTTCGGCGCACCCCTCCCACGTTTCGTGGCCCCACACCGAGCTCCACCGACGGCCTCAGTGGCAAAGTTCGCATGCGTTCCCGCCGCCGAGTTTTGCGCACCCCTCACACGTTTCGTGGCCACACAGGGAGCGCTCCACCGACGTCCTCAGTAGCAACGTTCGCATGCGTTCCAGCCGCCGAGTTCGGCGCCCCCCTCCCACGTTTCGTGGCCCCACGGATCTCCACCGAGGGCTCCAGTGGCAAAGTTCGCATGCGTTCCCGCCGCCGAGTTCGGCGCACCCCTCCCACGTTTCGTGGCCCCACACCGAGCTCCACCGACGGCCTCAGTGGCAAAGTTCGCATGCGTTCCCGCCGCCGAGTTCGGCGCACCCCTCCCACGTTTCGTGGCCCATAGGGAGCTCCACCGAAGGCCCCAGTGGCAAAGTTCGCATGCGTTCCTGCCGCCGAGTTCGGCGCCCCCCTCCCACGTTTCGTGGGCCCATAGGGATATCCCCCTTTATATGTCCCATCTGCCTTGCGGTACTCACACTTGCATATGGCTGGGTACCGTAACCATTTTGGCTCAAATTCATTCCGAACCACAGTAACCAATTGCATGTGCAGTCGAATCTACACCACACCTGACTTCATTTCTGGTTCAAATTTTAAGCATGACAACCAAGAGTACACCCTTGAGCTTCTGCTTAGCGGTTTCATTTGCCTACAGCACGCAAGTCGCAAATTCCATCAAACTGCAGTCGGACTACGCACAGACGCTCGGATTGCACCAATCACAATTCCGCACACAGTCAACCAAAAGTGATACCTTCGACGGTTGCAGCTATTTCCAATTTGGGCCAGAAAGCAGTAGTTCCGCCACGTCTCCACCTGCGTGGTTTGCAGCCACAGTGGGTCCGAGAACATCAACTTTCCAGTTCACTGTGAGCATGAGTACAACGGATAGCGATGGCGTGTTGTTTGCGAGTGTGTCGAACCAGCAATATTCTGTAGAACAAGGGTTTGTGATAATGGAAATCGTGCAAGGTGGAAAGGTCCGTGCAGCATTGGCGTCGAACACTCCAGTTTGTGGAATTCATTCGGTGACCAGTACTGTGCTGGTAAACGATGGGTTGACGCACACAATTACGCTCGATCGACATACAGCGGTCAGTGATTCGTTCGACCTTGTGATCGACGGTATAACCGAAAGCACGACCGCTTCTGGCTGTAGCAACATCGAGCTTGACGCAATGTGGGTTGGTGGACTTCCAGCGAGCCTTTCACCAAGGGCGGGCCTGGGCAGTAGCGAGTCTACCATGCAAACAGCCGTGACGTCCACAAGTAATTTCGCTGGCGTCATTTACAGTGTCACCTACGCTTCCCCACGGACAGCTGCCGCAACGGACATTCTCCCGACGACGTCCAGTATCGTGTCAGTCGGAAATGGATGCACGATAGAATCGGTTTCAACAGCCAGCCCGACGCCCAGCCCCACGGCGTCGACGCCGAGCCCAGGGGTGGCTGCCACCGGCGACCCCCACCTTCAAAACGTTCTTGGCCAGCGGTTCGATCTGATGAAGTCGGGCAAGCATGTTCTGATAAACATCCCTCGTGGCAGGAGCGCACAAGACGCATTGTTGTGGGTGCAGGCTGATGCGATCCGACTGGGTGGACATTGCGCGGACATGTATTTTCAATCATTGAACGTTACTGGATCTTGGGCAGAGGCCAAACAAGCTGGAGGATTTCATTACAGCGTATCGCAACTTGATGTGGGATCTCCGCAATGGGTTGCCTTTGGTAAGCTTGAGTTGAAAGTCGTTTGTGGACGTACGGAGAGTGGCCTCCTTTATTTAAATTTGCACGTGAAGCATTTAGGTCGAACAGGGTTTGCTATCGGAGGACTGCTGGGGGAAGACGACCACAAGGACGTAATGACCCCTCCAGCGTCTTGTACGAAGCGTACGTTTCTGACAGCAGACCGGCTGAGCAGAGCCGACGCTGTGGCGTCGCTGGCCTAACAGGCGTTAGACCTCTCTTTTTGTTTTCCTTTTGCCCTGTCGGTCAGGTCGTCTCTGATTCCCCGCGATTCAGCTGAGAAGAGCTGTGGCTGTGGAATCGCTGACCTGGCAGGCGATCCTTGAAATTCTAGACGCTTCGCGTAACCCCACAAGCCCATCCAGAGACGATGCCCAGGGGAGTTGCCCTGATCAGGGATGTGTAAGAGCATACAGTGGAATAAAGGTCTGGGGGAGCCGACGTGCCCGAATAGGGGGAGGATGGAGGAGGAATCGGGGGAGGGGGAGAGGACAAGCTAGGTGCGCTCGCGTCGTACCTGACATCCTACCCCTCCCTCCCATCCCTTACCATGGCGCAGATCCCCTCTCTACTCGCACAGTCGGATGTCGAGCATGGCAATGATGCCGAAAGGGTACGCGATGCATTGTAGAGCACGGCATGGCATGGCGTAGACGAGCACCGCGAAGCGTAGTATCAACCTAGCATTGCATTGCATGCCGTGGCATGGCACGGGAAATGACGCCAGCGCTGCAGCGGGAGCACGAGTCAAAACGAGCAGAAGCGCGGAAATGAGGCCAGCGCTGCAGCGGGAGCACGATTCGGAACGAGCGGAAGCACGCCAGAATCGGCCCGGGAGGCTTCTCCCGGGCGCCAGAAGCAGAAATTCAGCGTTTTCAAAAGAAAAATGTGTATTGGAATGGCCTTTTGTCGGCGCCGCCTCGGAACTCGATTTTCCGGCGCCGGCCGGAACCGGCTCCAGACCCGGCCGGGCGCCGGCCCGGGCGCGGGCTCGGGCGTCTGGCCTGGGCGCCGGTTCAGGCGCCAGCCCGGGCGTCGGAATCGGCCCAGGAGGCCTTCCTGAGCGCCGGAAGCAGAAATTTGGCATTTTCAAAAGAAAAATGTGTATTAGAATGGCCTTTTTTCGGCGCCGCCTCCGAACTCCATTTTCCGGCGCCGGCCGGAACCGGCTCCGGACACGGCGGCCCGAGCGCCGGCCCGGGCGCTGGCTCGGGCGTGCAGCCCAGGCGCCGGCGGAAATGAGGCCAGCGCTGCAGCGGGAGCACGATTCGGAACGAGCGGGGCCCGAAAATGAGGCCGGCGCCTCAGCGAGAGCAGCATTTTGAAAAACCGGGGAAACCTGTGTGTAAAAAAAACAGTACGCGGGGGGGGGTCCGCTATTCCCATTCCGTCATCAGGGGAAGAGGGAGAGTAGTATTCATAGTGAGTAATTGTTGAGAAGGAGGGTGGAAGAGGAGGGAGGAGGAGGAGGAGGAGGAGGAGGAGGAGGAGGAGGAGGAGGAGGAGGAGGAGGAGGAGGAGGAGGAGGGAGGAGGGAGGAGTGAGGAGAGGAGGGAGGAGGATTATTTTGCGGATGATGATGTTGATGATGATGCTATTGCAGCTGACGGCGATGACGATGATTGTGATGATGATGCTGCTGCTGATGATGATGCTGCTGATGATGATGCTGATGATGGTGATGATGATGACGTTGATGATGATAATGGTGATGATGCTGAATATTGTGATGGTGATGATGGTGATGATTCTGCTGATGCTGATGCTGATGCTGCTGATGATGATGATGATGATGACGTTGATGATGGTAATGATGATGCTGATGATGGTGATGGTGCCCTTGATGATGATTATGCTGATGCTGCTGCTGCTGATGATGATACTGATGCTTTGATGATGCTGATGCTGATGATGATAGTGAGGGCATGCTGCTGCTCTTGCTGTGATGATGATGCTGCTGATCATGATGCTGATGCTCATGATGCTGATGATGGTGATGATGATTATGATGACAGCGATGATGATGCTAATGCTGATGATGATGCTGATGATGCTGTGATGATAATGCTGAGTCTGATGACGTTGATGCTGACGATGATGCTGATGCTGATGATTAAGATGATGAGGCTAATGCTGATAGTGACGATGACGACGATGCTGGTGATGATGCTGATCATGTTGATGATGATGGTGACCTATGCTGATGATGCTGATGATCATGATGCTGATGCTGATGATGCTGCTGATACTGATTATGCTGATACGCACGATGCTGCTGGTGATGATGCTGCTGAGGATGATGCTGTTGATGATGATCGTACTGCTGATCATGATGTTGATGCTGCTGCTGATGATGATGATGCTGATCTGGTGAATCCGATGCTGATGATGTTGATGATGCTGATGCTGATGATGATTATGATGCTGATGCTGGTGATGATGGCGATGATGCTGATGTTGATGCTGATGCTGCTGATGATGCTGATGATGCTGATGATGCTAATGATGCTGATGATGCTGATACCGATAATGATGGTGATGTCGCTGATGTTGATGATGATGCTCAGGATGATGATGGTGATGATGATGCTGATGATAATGATGCTGATGATGATGATGATGATGCTGATGATGCTGCTGCTGATGATGATGATGACGATGCTGCTGCTGCTGCTGCTGATGATGATGATGATGATGATGATGATGATGATGCTGATGATGATGATGATGATGATGATGATGGTGATGATGATGAGGAGGAGGAGGAGGAGGAGGAGGAGGAGGAGGAGGAGGAGGAGGAGGAGGAGTAGGAGGAGGAGGAGGAGGAGGAGGAGGAGGAGGAGAAGGAGGAGGAGGAGGAGGAGGACTTGAGGACGAGGATGAGGATGTCGAGGAGGAGGAGGACGAGGAGGAGCAGATGGAGGAGGAGGGCGAGCAGAAACGCCAAAGGCCTCTTGGATGCTTCTCGGAGTCTCTTCGGATGTCTCTTGAGAGATTCTTCGGGTACTCTTGGGGCGTCTGGGGGGCCGCTTGACGAGCTCGAGGCGGCTTGGGTACTTCGGGGGAGCCTCCTGGGACCGCTTGGGGGCATCTCGGGGGGCCTCTTGGGGCCTCCTGGGCGCCTCTTGGGGCCTTCTCGGGGCACTCTTGGGAGCCTTGGGGACCATCTTGGGGCCATCTTGGACGAGTTCGATAATCGGCCCCCCCTCCCCCCTGCCCTCTGCAGCTCCTAAACATCGCCTCCTCGACTCCTCTGAGAGCGCTCTTGGGGCTCTCGGGGCCGTCCTAGGACCCTCGTGGGCTCCTCTTGGGGCTGTCTTGAGCCTTCTTGCGCGAAGTGGGGCCACCTTGAGGCCTCGGAGGGCAGTCGAAAGTGAACAGGCGAGACGGCATCATAAGTTATTTCTCCTGAAGTGTTTGACGTTTTTTTGCCAGTTGGTAGTTCCATGGGAGGCTCCGTGGCCACTTGGAGCCATCTCGTGGTGGTCTTGTGGACTCTTGAAGCATCTGGGAAGTCATCCTGTGCTATGAGCCATATTGCAGGTAGTCGTCGGCTCTTTGAGACCCTCCTGGAGCCTTCTTGGTCCATCCTAGACGCTCTGACCGCTCGCAGCCCCCCCCCCCGTGCATGTCCAGGGGAGGGGGTATGGGCAGGGATCAAGACACCGCCTAGACAGCAGGCCGTCTAGCTCACTCCCACCCGCCCTCCCGACACAAAAGTAACACCCGAGCCTCAGCGTGTTCAGCGGTCGTCTTTGGATGGCCAGCTGCCGGGAACCAACACCGACCCCATGTGCGCGACGCTGGGGCGAGGTGCGCGCTGCGTGCCAGGCGCGCCAAGCGCGCCAAGCACCCCTGGGGCCCGAGCGTGCCAGGCGCGCCTGGTGCGCCGGATGCGCCAGGAGCTCCGCGTGCGCAAGGTGTGCCGCATACTCCAGCCGCGCCAGGTGCGCCACGTTCGGGGCATGTGCAGAGTGTGTCAGGTGCGCCTGCGCAGATGACAGCACACATGGAGAAACATGTCGGCCCCCACCATCCTTGTCGAAAAGCAATGCCCATCACTGTGTCTGGTGGGCCTGCGCACCGCAGGCCATACGCCATCACCCTTGCCGTCCTTATCGAAAACCACTTGACAGTGATCGCGGGGGGTGTCCGCGCATGATCCAGATTTAGCTGCGAGAAGCATGTTGCATTATTTTTTGTTAGGCCTTGGAGCCCTGCGCACAGCAGGCAATATGCTGACACCCCCGCCGTCCCTGTCAAAAACAATACAAAGTGCTCGCGGGCCTCACGAACATGACTCAAGACTTTGCCCCAAAGTGTACTTCGTATTGTTTTTGAGAGGGATGGTGGGGAGGGCCGCGTCGGGTTGGCCGCGCATGCTCTAAATGTGGAGGCAGAGTGCGTTTTGTATTGTTTTTTGACGGGTGGTCGTGGGGTGCCCGCATGGTGTCCTCATGGTTCCTGGCTGGCTGCCGGTCGCCCTGGTCAGGGCGTGTATATCAATTGCGAGCAGTGATCAAGCTTCTCTCGATAGGGAAGAAGGGGGGCGGAAGAGGACACTTGCTAAACCACTCACGCCAAGTGGGATCGTGGGATTCAGTGCGGATGCTTCCCGCCTGCACTGAGGTTCGTGTCAAAGCGCCCACGAAGTTGATGGGAAATTCCAGCGTTGGCCAATCTATCGTGCGAGTCCACGAGGCCTTGCATGGGGTGTGGGAACCGCCGGGGACGTGGATGAGACAGACGAGGCGGGGGGATGGGAACGCTGGGCGCTTCCTCACTGGCACTTCTTCTGCACCAGCTAGTGGCCACGCTGTTTACGGCCTGATCCCCGAGCCCTGGTAGATGCTCTGCTGCCGCGTCGGGTATTCTGCTCTGCGCTGGCTGTTCGGTTCAGGCGGAGGCCACACGAGCTGGAGGGTAGTTACTCTCCAGCTGCCTGCGGCAAGCCTCGCCACCGTGCCAGCCAAGCATTCTGGATGGCGATTGAGAATCGTGGTGGAGATGAAATGGCGATGAATCTGAGGATGCTGCAGATGATCATGATGCTGATGATGGTGATGATAGTGGTGATGATGATGACGATGACGATGGTGATGCTGATGCTGATGATGACGATGATGATGGTGGTGGTGGTGGTGGTGATTCTGAAGACGACCGTGCTGATGAGGAGGAGGAAGAGGAGGTGGAGAGGGATGAGGATGCGGATGAGGGTGCGGATGATGATGAGGCTGATGATGCGGATGCTGATGATGATACCTGGTGATGCTGATGATGCTGATGATGATGCCGATGATGCTGATGATGCTGATGAGATGCTGATGGTGATGGTGGAGATGGCGGTGGTGATGATGAGGATTTTGGCTACACTGATGAT